TACTTTCTGCATGACTAATTAATGCCCCGAAATGAGTTAAGCTGCGCTGTTAAACCTCACCCCGTGTGTGCAAACTGCCCTTCTTGGACGTTTTTATCTCGGAATTCTCGGGGAGGGGGCATCGCCTGTTATCTGGAAGCCACTTAGCCGAGCTGGGATGTGATGTCACGCTCTGGAAAATACGTGTGGGGGTTTTTAGCTCAGCCTGCCGGGACACGGACGTGACTCCGCCGCGATAAACCTCATTAAAAACCTGCGAGCAGCAGCGATAGCGAGCCTGGCTGGCAGCAGCTGAATCCCCGCGGGCTGGCGGCCGCGCTTTGGCTCGGGTGAGGCTTTGGGAGCGCTGGGCTGGGATCGGCCGCTGGCTCAGCCCAAGGGAGGCGCTCCCGGCCGGAGCAGGAGCCGCAGCTCCCGGCACCATCGGCAGCAGCACAGCAGAACCGGGAAAAAAGATTTAAAAAATGGAATAAGGTTTTTTTTAACATTCCACAGGCTGGAATGCTGTTGCTTCACTCCGGGATGGTGCTCGCTCCCGGCTCGCAGGATTCTCAGCTCCTAGCTCCCCGTGCTTTTGAACTCATCCTCTGCCATCCATAGGGGTTTTTTTTCCTTCCCTGCTGGAGCAAAGCCGAGCAGCATAACCCGCTGCTTGTTTGATCCGTCCGCGCCAGCCCGAAATAAAATCTCGTTTTTAATGAAGCGCCAAGGAAAGCCGGAGCTCAGCACAATTCCCTGCCCGCCGGAGATCCCAATCTCGCCTTGCCGGCAGAGCGGAGCGGGCGCTGCCGCTCCATGAGCCGGCATTCCCGGCAGGGAGGCGAGCGCAGCCTGCTCCCGCAGCCCTGGCTCCGGCATTCCCGGACACAGCATCCCTGGATACAGCATTCCCGGATCCCGCATCCCTGGATCAAGTATTCCCGGCTCCAGCGTGTCTGGATCCAGCAGTCCCGGCTCCCGCATTCCCGGATCCCGAATTCCCAGATCACGCACACCCGGATCCCTCATTCCCTGCTCCATCATTCCCGGATCTCCCACTCCCAGATCCAGCATTCCCGGATCCCTCATTCCCTGCCCCAGCATTCCCGAATCCCGCACTCCCAGATCCCTCATTCCCAGCTCCATCATTCCCGGATCCTTCATTCCCTGCTCCATCATTCCCAGATCCCTCATTCCCAGCTCCATCATTCCCGGATCCCGCATTCCCGGCTCCAGCATTCCCGGCTCCCGGGCTGCCCCGGCCGCCGAGGGAGCGATGGAAAATCCCTGAGCCAGCGCCTGGAAAATCCGTGCGGCAAAGGTGCGTCCCTGTCTCTGTTTAACCCCCCGAACCCCTCCTTTCTACCCCCTTTCCCTATTATTTTCTCTCCTGTTTTCCCTATTCCTTTCTCTATTGTTTTCCCCATTGTTACAGCGGAAAAAGCGATTATTATATTTTTTTTAGCCGGGAAGTCGCTCGGGTTGACACGTGCTTAGCAAAACAAACCCGTGCCTGTGTGGGGTTCCAGGGGAAAAATGTGCATTTTCCCTTGGCTCAGCCCCGGCTCGGCGATTCCAGCGGGGTTTGGGGACCCCTCGCTCCCCTCCAGGAGCAGAACCGGCTCCCCATGGGATGGATCCCGGGATGAGCTCCAGGGGGATCCGGAGGGGTTTTCTGGGAGCCCCCCGTGTTTGGAACCCTCCTTTCCATTCCAAACACCCCCTTTTCCCCCCAAATTCCCGGTTTTCGCTCAGCCCTGGCCCGGCCGGATTTGGGGACCCCTCGCTCCCCTCCAGGAGCAGAACGGGCTCATCCCTCTGGATAAACCCCGAGATGAGCCCCGGGATGAGCTCCAGGGGGATCCCGAGGGGTTTTCTGGGAGCCCCCCGTGTTTGGAACCCTCCTTTCCATTCCAAACTCCCCGTTCTCCCCCCAAATTCCCGGTTTTTGGGGTCCCAGCCACAGGATGGGGTTCTCTGGGTGATGGAGGCGCTCCTGGGCTGGTCCTGCCCCGCTTGGGTTTGGCAGGAGGCTGGGACTGTGGTTATCACTATTTTTAATTTTTAATTTTAATTCTGAGAGCCTCTTTATGGAAATGGGGCTCTTGACGAGTTGTTTTCCGAATGAAAGCAAAGGGAATAATTCTATTTGTTGGGAGTAAAAGAGAGTCACGGTGCTGCTGCTGCTGCTAAAGAGCTTCCTGATCTTCTTCCCTGTTAATTAAAAATGCTGCTCTCAAAAAAATCATGGAATGTTTTGGGTTGGAAGGGATCATAAAGCTCGTCCTATTCCAAACCCTGATGTGGGCAGGGACACGTTCCACTGGTTGCTCCAAGCCCCACCCAGCCTAGCTTTGGATTAAATTAAATTAAAAATTAAATTAATTTCATAGATAAATAATTGTGTTTCCTGTTGTAGCCAGTCTATGTGCTCTTTCCTGCTTCAGTGGAGGAAATATTACCAATGTCTTAATAATTATTGCATTCCATTCCTAAACATCACCTGCCAATACAATGAGCTGGATAATTCTTTTCTATATCCACATAATTTCTCCTGTATTTTGGGAATTTTTACTTGGCAATGGACAGGGGCATGTATGAAAACCTGCCCAAACTGTGGGAGTCCCTACGGGAATATCCATCATTTTGGTTGATTTTTCCAGTGACAGGAGCCCAGGCTGCGGTTCATTTTTTAAAATCACTTCAAGGTTCATTTTCAGGCCCCACCAGCTGCTGGGCTGATGGATTGAGAACTTCCAGTGGGCCGAACTGGCACAATAAATGCATTTTCTATATAAAAAATAATTATTCTGTTGCTTCAGAGAGCTCGTTCAGTGGGAATTGTTGCAAACCACAGAGATCCCAGTGGGAAGCGGGTGGAAATCCCCAGTGTGACTATTAGCACACCTTCAGAACAACCTGTGCAGGATTTTTCCCTGCTTTTATTGCTGTGGAAAAGCTGTTTGTCAGTGAGATGGGAGACCTGGCTGGCTCAGAGCTGGCGCTGGTAGTGTCAGGAGGTCAGGCTGGCTCCGAGCTCCTGGAATCCCACGGATCCCAGAGCCGTGCGTTATTTTCCTGCTGTGGAAACCCAGTGGTGCCGTTCCAGGTCTGGAAGCAGCACAGGAAAATACAAATTTTGATATTTTTGCCTGGTTGTGGTCAGTGGTGAGCTTGCAGGGTCCAGCTCTGAGGGGGACGAGGGATGGGGATGAGGTTTCTCCACCAGGTCCGTGTTGTCTCAGCGGCGGAACGAGCAGAAAACAAATCCTGGGTGAGACAGACCATCCCAAAATGATTTAGCTCATTAGGACGGCTGGGATAAAATGATTCCCAACACCCTCTCATCGGTTATGCAAACACCAAGGACGGGGTTTAACCAGCCTTGCCCTCGGGCCTAACCCCGCTGCCTCCCTCCGGCCCCAGGAGGTGCCAGCAGGGAGGGAATCCAACCCTTCCCATTCCCACTGGATTTATTTTTTAGGCCAGTGCTGACATAAAAACATCTGAAGAACCCTCCTGGCCGCGTTACAGTGGGAGGCTTGTTCCCTGTAAATCTAAAACTTTATTTATGCATCAGCGATCCGCTGCTTCCATTATTGGGCGCTCGCGTGTCTGATCTCCGGGCTGATTTCCTGCCACTCTCTGGTGTAAAACTGAAGGATAAGTTACAACAGAGCCTGGAAACTGAATAAATTATTTGCTTTCAGCTCTGCTCGTCAGCAGGGCTGCGGTTTTCCAATGGAAACCCAAGTTGCATCCCACGATTTGTTGATTAATCCAGTTTCTCATGGCCTGGATGAAAAAAGGGGTTTAAGGAGCACTAAAAATAAACGCTGGACGTCCCTCAAGGTGATTTTTAGGAGCTGAGGGCAGGAAGTTCTGACCCCCCTCCTTTTCCTTCTCCTTTTGTCAGTCAGATTGATGTGATGGGATGGGCAGAGCAAATCCTTGGGGTCAAGGGATCCAAGGGCTGAGCTGGGCCCTGGAGAGCCCTGGGGAGAGCTGAAGTGTCTGCTGGAGCTGCTGATGCTCTGGCTCCACAAAACTGACTCGGGGAGACCTATTTAGTGGAAATGAACTCATTTAGCTCGAAAACAAACTGTTATTTCAGCCCTGGGGCGGGCCCTGGGTGAGAGGTGCCGCGTCTGCCCTGCTGATTGGGATCTGCCTCTGGAAAGAGATGCTGGCTCACTGGGAACACTAAAGGCAGGTGGCAAGGTAGGATTTCTGGTGGCTCTTTGCCACTCCGGAGAGATTTTTACCTCAGACAATCCCTCCTTGTGGTGTAATGGGAGAGCAAAGGCAAAAGCACAAATAAACCCCATGATTATACCACTATTTTTTAAAAACGATTTTGAGTTCCATGATTTTTATTTTGGTAGTTTGGATTTCCAGCAAGTCTTGTCATTCATATTTTTTCCTACAAAGTGAATAATTCCTCATTTTTTTTCCTGTCCTAGACTCATTTTGCCCCTGGTGAGTTTTCTGTGTTTTTTGTGGCGTGGTGTGACCTACTCAGAGAGGAGCAGAGCCCTTATCCCTCCGTGGCCATATGTTCCCAGAAATAATCATCATTTTCCACCAGGGCTGCTATGTGGGCTCTTCCCTGTCCGCTCTGTTGGCCCGGGTTGAGTTTTTATCAATCTGCTGTGGAAATTTGATGGGCTTCACAGCAGAAATGTGTGTCTGGAGGCAGGACTCCTTCCCCACCAACAATAAAGTATTGTCAACCCCATAAAAATCTATTTTGGACATCTGTACGCCCAATAAACCCACGGTTTATCCCTTGACACGTGTTAAAACGGGGACAAATCCAGTATAAATGGCCGTTTGTTCATTGCCCAGTGGTGCCTACGTGATCCCAGCTCAGCCCCTGCTCCAGAGATTCCCTGTGAATCCACAATATTCCCATTTATGGGGTGCCAGCAGTGCCAGGGCAGGGAGTTAAGAGTGGGGCTCTCTCCCAGGGGATGCTGCAGATGCTCTCAGCAGGAGCTGCGCCTCCTCCCAGGGTTTGGCTTCGCTGGAAAACTCAGGAGAGCCTCAAAGTTGGGATGGATTTGGGATGATGACATAAAATATCCCTCCTGCTGCTCCATCGGTGGGTATTCCTGAGTAATTTTTCCAGGGGCTTCCTAATTTTACATAAATTGCTAAATATTCTCTATGAGTTGCTAATTATTCTATATGATCTGCTAAATATGCCATAGAAATAGCTAAATATTCTATAGAAATAGCTAAATATTCTATGCAAATTGCTAAAAATTCTATGCAAATTGCTAAATATTCTATATAAATTGCTAAATATTCTATATACTCTGCTAAGTATGCCATATAAATAGCCAAATACTCTTTATAATTTGCTAAATGTTCTATATAAATTGCTAACTATTCTATATAATCTGCTAAATATGCTATAGAAATAGCTAAACATTCTATATAAATTGCTAAATATTCTCTATGAGTTGCTAATTATTCTATATAATCTGCTAAATATGCCATATAAATGGCTAAATACTCTATAGAAATAGTTAAATATTCCATATAAGCTGCTAAATATTCTATATAAACTAAGCATTCTATATAAATATTCTATATATATAAATATTCTATATAAATATTTTATATAAACTATATAAGTATTCTCTATAAACTGCTAAATATTCTACATGAACTGCTAAATATGATAGGAAAAGGTGAGAGGAATTACCTCACTTATAATTAAAATTTTATCATGTTTTCCTTTTACGTCTTTTATTGGTTTAATGCCAATTACTCCTGTATTTTATCAAATTTAGGGTAGTTTTTTTTTGCATTCTCCTCCTCTACAAGTGCCTTGAATAGAATAACATAAATTCCTCTCATGGAATTCTGCCTGCAATTATTTCCTATCAGTCTCCCCGAGCTTTTGTGTGGCTCTGCTTTCATCTCCTGAGCTGCTGCGCAGACAAATTCCGGCTCTCAGGCAGGTGCCTGGCTCGCTGTGGGATGATCCCTGTGGATACTGCAGGGATTTGCCTGGAAAAATGGAAATATTTCAGCATCAGGCACGTTGCAGAATTCCTGGGGTTTGTCCCGAGGAGGGAGTTAAGTGCTAAAAGAAAAAAAAATTAAAATGAACAGAGGAAATTATTGGGATTCAGGATTGGTTTGCAATGCAGGGAATAAAAGGGCTCTGGAAAAAGGGAAGTCATGGAAGGAGAGTGTTTTCCTGGTGGTTTATGTCCAGAAATGCTGAAGGCTGCACACTCCTAATCTTGCCTCATTTGGAGCTTATTAATTGTGGGGTTTAAATGCCCTGGGGCTGTTTTTAGGAAGTCCTCAAAATTTTGTTTTCTCAGGAAATTTCGTGAACGGCTGCTGTTAGTCCTAAGTAATTAATTAATTAATTTACTTACTGATTACTTTTTTCTCTGAAATAGTTGGAAATTTTAAAGTCAGCCCCTGTTCCCTTTCATTGTTACCGTTCCTTGGTCCAGGCAGAGATTCCCGGCTGGAATCACCTCTCAGGGTGAGTGCAGTGTTTGCCAGCTCTGCTCCTGGACTGCAGCTGGGGTGATTTCAGCTCACTGTCCTTCTGTGCCACAAAATTCACACTCCTGTTACAGAAATCAGGAATTTTGGGGTCTGGCTGGTGGAGGGAAGGGCTCGACAAGCTCATTTTTGGTGATTAATCACCTGCAGGATGGATTTTTAATGTAAATATTGTGTGTCTGGAGGAGAAGGTGAATTTATGCCACAAATACATAACACAAAAAAGCCACCTGAAAATGAGGTTGGTAGGAAGGAGAAGAACAAACAAACCAAAATATTTTCCATTAAACCCCTGGATTCCACTTTGCCAGCTCCTGCAGATTTTAATTTATTTATTGTTTCACGTCAACAAACACAATTTTTGAATAAACAAAGCAAATTCCATCAGGTTGCCCTTCAGACGTTATTTTTGAGGAATTGAATAAAACTCTTTAAAAAAAACTTGAAAAAACGCTTATTAAAATTTATTAATGAAATAAATCTGGGCAGATGTGCTTCAGCAGTGTTCCCAAAGAGCCCTGGTGGCACAGGGAACAATGGCTCTTGTCCCCCGAAGAATGGGAGCCCTTGACGAGATGTCAGCATCTCCAGACCTCGCTCTGTGCATCTGCTGCTCAAGTCATGGGGTCTCGTGGGCCCTCCTGGCCGGAATCCCAAACGGCAGCGCTTTAATTCCACAGCCCAAATATTGATTTAATGGGGGCTCTGCACGTGCAGTTTATTTACAGTTGATTTGTGTGTTTGTAGAAATGAAATTTGTTTGAGTGTCCCCACATAAGGCTTGTGGTAAATCTAAATATATAAAGTAAAATAGACCATTTTAACTTTTAGGTTTTTAATTTTTTTTATATTACTCTGTTTTTATACAAATTTGGCCAAATTTTTTGTGTTATTATCTATATTTAAATATTTAATGGGGTTGAATTTATTTTTGCACATTTTATTTTCTCTACACCTACCAAGCTCTTTGTTTTTGTGCACAACCAGCCTTTCCCAACCTTCAATATTTCACCACAGGGCGTTTGTTTTCCTGGGATCCTTGTGCTCCTGTAACAAGATTCTAAAGGCAAACCAGTGCAGGGCTGGATTTCACAGAAATCCCGCCTGCTTTTCGGGCTCTCCTTCTTCCCAGACGTACATTTGGGGCTAAACTGCCGGGGAAGCAGATGCCAGTCTGCAGATATTAGGAGTTCAAATCTCTTGAGATGTCTTCATGCTCTTAAGGAGCTTCCAGCCCTCTCCAGGGAGATCCAAGGGGCGGCGAGGGCGGCGCCGGCGCGGGAGGAGAGGGTGAGCGCGGGGTTGGGATCCAGCGTTGGGAACCATCCGTAAATCCCAAATCTGGGCCCTTGGGATGCCCGCTGGGATTTTGTGGAGGTGTTTTCCAAGGAGGTTGTTTGGTGGTTAAGAGGTTTTTGGGGTGTCCATGGAGGTAGGGATGAGGGGAGGTTTGTGGGGAGTGAAAATGTTGCGGGTCTGTCACGTCCCAAGGAAAGGTTAAGCGGCCTTGTCGTCCTCATTTTACCTCCTGTCTCTGCTGGGTGTGTCCATCCATAGATAAAAATACAAAAATTACATCTAAAGTATCTATTTTATCCATCTAAAATATCTGTTTTATCCATCTAAAATATCTGTTTTCTATAGCTCTGTAAAACCTGTACACAAATACAGACGTCTCCATATTGGTCAGCTGGCCTTCAAGGATGGAGAAGGCTTTAAAGTTGTTTTGTTTTTTTTTTTAAGGATGGAAAAAAAAAGTTTCACTGCTATTAAGTTGTTTTCAGCTTGTATCTGCCAAGCTATGCTCTGCTTAAACATATAATAGGGTACAAAGCATCTTTGGGGCATTTAACAATGTTTTAAAAATTAATATCACCATCTTCTTATTTTTTCCAGATAACAGATATTTTAAACAGCTTTTACCTTGGGTTTAGATCTAATATTCAAGTGGGAAAATGGAAAGAGGTGGTTTTTCAGTGTTTTTTTCCTTGGGAATGTTTTTCTGTGGAATTGCTTTATGGAGAAAATTTTAATTGAGGCAACCAAGAGTGTTTTTAATGAATGAATATTTATCTGCTTTGAGTTTTATATCCACTAAAATATTTTATCTGGAAATGACATTTGGTGTTGTTTGGTTTGGTGCTCAGAGAAGGCCTTGGATTTTTAGAACTGGCAAAATAAAAATCTTGAGCATGACCCAGTTTAACAGCAAATTCCCAGCAACATTCCTGGCTCCAAGAACACCACAAAGTCTGAGGAAGTTGATTTTTACAACTTTGGGTCTTATACTGGTTTGTAATTCCATTTTTTTTCCATGGTTGGGACACTTAAGAGTTTTCTCTGTTCCTTTCTCTGTTGGATTTGGGGATTTTTGGGTTTTTTGGTGTCTAGTGAGGTACTGATGGGAGTGCAGGGTTTCCTTGGCTGAGGTGGCTGGAGGATGTTCCCATCACAAAATGTTCATTGACTTCCCAACCTTCCCTTCCTTTCCAGCCTGGCCAAATGCCCTGATGGATCCAAGTGAGAAGTTGCGTAACTTGACAAAATCCTCTTTTCCCTAGGGAACCATACTGAAAATGGGATCTGAAGGATGAAAAGGGGAAAATAAGCAACACCACAGGCTGGATCCAGTTGGTTTTTTCCCTGTCTGCAGTGAAAGGGCACTGGGGGAACCATGGCGTGGGATTTGGTGGTGGGATTTGAGGTGGGAACCCCCCATGGATGGAGCTGGGCCCTGTTTCTCCCCTCACCTTGAAAGTCTGCTCGCAGCAAAACTTTTTAGCACTTCTAATAATTGAAAAGTCCTGATTTCCTCACTGGAATTAAATGCCTTTTAGTGGATTAGTTTGAACCACATCCACTAAGAGCTTGATCATCTGCCAGCCCCGAGAGTTGGGCCAAAGCTTTGTAAATTAATGAGCTCAAGGTGATTAGGACAGGTTGGGTGCTTTGGGCCCTGCACCAAATTGTCCCCGTGCAAGGTGTGGAGCTCGGGGCGTCTGTCACTTCTTTTTCCCATTTTCATTTGGGTTCCTGGACTGGGAGGGGATTTTGGGAAGGGATTTTCCTGACTTGGCTGCCAAAACCATGAAGTGAACCGTGTGATGCCACATGAAAACTATATGGAGGTCCCAAAAGTAGAAGCAACATCATAACCACACTTGTTGCTGGGGTAATTCCAATTCCAGTCTCAATCCAAGGATATTTATCCTTGTATCAATCCACAGAATGTTTTATGGGAAGATTAAGCACCTGAAACCTCTGCGGGAAGGGGATTTTAACTCTTGCAGCCACGTTTTTGTGTGAATGGAAAAAAGTCTTGGGACAAATATGCTGGTACATCTTTATTTAAAATGTGGGATTTCCGCAGAGTTTCGTGGATAGTGGAGCATCTTCCCCATGGATTCTTGGCTCAGAGTCAAGGAGAGGAACTGAGCTTTTATTACCCAGCAGGGCAAGTTGTGGGGATGGCTTTAGCACACCCTTCATCTGTAATTTCTTTCTAAAAATGTGGTGACTTGCAGGAAAATGTGGCTTTCCCTGGAGGCAGGGAAGACTCTGGTGTTT